TATAATTATCCTATATATAATTTAAATTACACCATGGTGGGTGTTTCATTATTTGTTTTTTTTGTTTTTTTTTGTTTTTTTTTTTTCGTTTTATTTTATATTTAAATATGGTTTGGTTTCCCCTATTCTGTTTGTTTATATTTTTTAATATGGTATGTTTTTTATTTGATAAATTTAATATATAAAGTGATATATATATATATTATTTACTTTTATGATTTGATTTTTGTCTCCTCTTGGTTTCTCGTCTTCCCGAATATTTTCCTCGTTTCGTTATCGCCGTGTTCTTACTTCCTGTGCCGTTTTTCCCATATTATCGTCGTGGTTGTTTGCGGTTGTGTCTTTTTTTAATCCCTTTTTTTTATCTTCCCCTGATTGTGACTGTTTCTTTCTCTCTGGTTTGTTGTTTGTTCTTTGTTGCTTTTTTTTCTACTCCCCTCCTGTTGTTATAGTGTGTTCGTCTTTTTTTTATTTCAAGTGTCGTATTTCACCGTAGCCTCTAACGGGTACACCCGGCGGTCGGTGTATACTAGGAGGTCCCCGGTGTTGGAGAGTTCCCAGGTTTGGGTACCTGCACTCTTTAGAGGACCATCCACCCGGTGGAAATTGAGGAACCCCACCGTTCCTGGGACAGTAAGCGGGATATACGGACCCCGTTTACTGCAGGTGCTAGGGTCACCCTGTTCGCTGACAAAAAACTCTCCGCGTGCCGGGGAAAGATCCTGTTGCATTTGGTGTCTTTCTCGAAAAAAGTCTGACTCCCGTACCAGGACGCCACAGACCTGTATTCGAGGATTCCGGGCGTGGCCGGTAGCTCAGAACTGTAGAGAAGAGAGAGAGACTACCGCCCCAGTTTGTTACGGTCGACCTACCGCAAGTTTTAACTCTGCCACGGTCGGGTGGGTAATCCTCTTGGCGACACAAGCCGGTATTCCAAACTGGTGACTTCGGTAGGACTCAAGGGTAGTCTGTGCTCGACCAAGTGCCTGGTTCCGAACCTTCGAGTCGAATGTGTCGTAAACCTCCCACCTACCGTCTTCCTTTCTTCAGAAACCGACTCTCGTTGAGGGCCAAGACGACATGTTCCCTTAAGTTGTCCCTCCCGCTCGTATCCCTAGTCGGTGGTTCGTCTTAGGTACATCCCCGGGGGAACCCACAAGCCTCCTCGGTGCTTCAGAGCTTACGAGTGTGAATGTCTCCCTTATGTTCTGGACCAACCCCTTGAGGTTGATATTCACGACCCAACACATTGGGAACGTACAAATTCTTCTTTTGACTTATATCTTTCGGTGTTATGGTGGACTCCCTCGGCCCTTGTGGCTGGGGCAGTAGGTCCTCCCTGACCTTGTTTTCGTCCTTGGTTCCCCAAGTTCATCCGTGGTCTCGTTGTTTACAATGACCCAAGGATAAAAGCGGAACCGTGGTCAGGGTCTCTTGTCAAAGGGTTGGGACAAAAGCATGACAATGCTCATTTACCCAACGGATCTTAACTCCTTTTCAGAGGACTGTCCGAGATCGTCAGCGAAGTCCGTTCACCAGCCCAGGTCACTCTGGGTGTCGACCTCGCCGTCCCCAAGGCCCCCACCGGTATAGGCTGGGAGTCGGACTCTGTTCTCAGGAAGGACAGCCCCTCTGCGTTCCATAGGCGTTGTCTCGACACGTCGTCCCTCTTGTTTCAAGGCCCGACCCGTCTTCCCCCGGTGGTCTTCCTTCGGACACCGGGACTTACTTCCGGTGAGATCCTCAAAGCCCGTAGTCTCCCTTCCGTGCCACCCTATCCGTATTCTCCTGCGACCCCGGTATTTACGGGGTCCCGCAGGGACTGGCGTTTCCGCGACCAAAAGAGGGAGGTTCCTCTTGGTGTCCTCCGGTCCCAGGCTGGTAGAAAAGCTCCGTTTCTCTAGATGGCAGCACCGGGACGCCGGGCTTCTCTGGGGTCTACAACGGTGCGTGAACCTACTTCGGGTAGTGGTGAGCACCCTCCCGAACACTGCCCTCTCAGACGGCTGAACCAAGGACGAGGGAGGCCCCGGTCTATGTAACTTTGGGCCATTTTCTTTGATCCTCTCGTGTGCGCTCTCGATTTGTGGCCAGGTCTCTCCTAGTGTTCTCTGGGTAGATCGTTCGCTACTTTGTAAACTCCGGGGTAAACCACCCAATTAATCGCCCATAAGTGGTCTTACTCCTTTTATATATAATCTCTTGGCTATGGGCTTTTTATCCTTTGTACAACCGGCTTTTTGCTTACGGCTTTCCGGCTTTTTACTTAATTATCTTTATATATATATATATATAATTTACATATGGTAAAAAATGGTTACACAGTCAGCGGACTAATTACCCTTTTTATTTACTAATACCGTTTTTAATTTGAATTTATTATTAGTATAATACCCAGGTATTTTGTAAATAAAGGTCGTGAAAACTTACGTATGTCCATGTAAATTAAGGTTTCAGGTTCACGTTAAAAAAAAAAGAGACAATCCTATGATGTGTGTTTCCACCGTGAAGTCTTGGGTTTCGGTTTCCCACGAAAATTTTTGACGTTATTTGTAGATCCGGTCAATCCGTGATGTGTTTACATTTATTTTCTGACCATGTGTCGGTCCGGAAAGGGTTGTTGTTGGTTTCACTGCGATATTCAACGTAAGTATGGTTACCGCACGATTTGACCTTATTTAGGGTGTACTAACATTGGAATAAAATTATTGTTTACTTTTAAACTGTGTAACTTAAAAAGTTCTTAGACATTTATTCCGAACAGACAGGAAGTATTCGTTACATCAGTTTGTAACCCATTATTTCTATGTATTTTCACTTTTGACCTATGTCTTTAGGTTGTTAGTTAAAGTTTAAATTTAAAAATGTTAAAGTTTTAGACGTTGTATTCACCCCAAGGGACAAGGAGTACTCGGTTACATTTGTTGTATACATGTAAAATCTATGGCTTCATTGTTATATAACGGTTTTAATTAGGTCAACTAAAATATGCGTCACATCCTGCTACGGTCCCGCGCGAGCGCCTTTTCTTGGAGGCACTCGCGCGGGGACCTCCGGCTCGATGAGCGAACTATGGATAAATCAAAGAAAAGTACCGGAGGAACACAGGATTTAATTCTGTGTGGACAGAGTTATATGCTTTCACAGCAAACGAGGCTGGTTTACCGGTATGTTTGATATCTAGAGAGAAGTTGTCAAAGGTGCTGCAGCCTTTACGTATCGAGGAACAACACGGGAGAGGAAGACAGCTGACGATCTTCAGTCATAATTCAATGGGGTATGTAATTTATTTCAGAAAACACTTTTTGTTATATTCCATGGAATGCTCTTAACGTCCCGATAGCAATGAATATATTAAATGCTTTGACAATAAATACATACAAAAATTCATCTCTGGAAGCCGTAGCGCTGTAAAAAGCACGACCAATCATTTTAGCCGACCCGGCTAAAATAACTGGATGGCCTACCTGCCTGTCAGCCTTCCATCTGTGCACAAACTTATCTCGTGGCCTCATTGATGATGCGCGTTCGTGTGTGTTGGAGGAGGGACTCTGTAAGAAAGTCTGAAGGAAGAAGCCTATTTTTTCCGGTTGTGTATTTTCAAATTCTAGCGCACTCGAGCTGGTTTCTCCATTCTTACCTACCCTACCTTTAACTCTTTTTAGGGTGCAGCTATATGTTTTATTTATTTCAAAGTGGGCCCATTTTAATAATATTTTGTTTTCCTTCAAATGTTCAGAGGACTCCCCAAGTGCTGTGTTTAATTTATTTTAAAGTAGGGCTGTGTATTATTTGTAATTCTCCTTATAGGAGTTCTTTGTTTCTTATTAGAGGTTAACAGTTTTATATAATGTAATAAATAGCCTAATAAATGCAAAAAAACTAGTTTTTGTCTGATATAACAATAAATACAACTTTATTAGCTATCAAGCTATGAAATATGTTTTGCGGCTCCAGACAAAAAAATGTGGGTGAAAAAGGAGCAAAATGGCTCTTTTGGTCAAAAAGGTTGCAGACCCCTGCCCTAGTACTTATAGTCTGTGCAATGACAGTAAAGTTTAATCTAACCTAATCCCTATATGCTATGGCAAAACAAATGTATCAAATCGAATATTGAACCAAACTGTTAAAAAAACGAAAACAAGCCCACGTTTGAAATAACAGCGACATTGTACACTCATATGTTCGTGCATTACAGACCCAGACTGTAACATTTAGATTTCACTGCTCTGATTTGGATAGGGTGAGCAGCTTTTTCTCAACTCTGTAGTGAGGCTCAGACTGAGACTATTTTCAATGAAAAACAGCAGACCTGAAATCCAAAAGCATTGTCTACGGTTCATAATTATCAAACTGCGGGAGAAAATTCCTCACTTTTCACAAACTCGATGACTTCATAAACACTAGGACAAGACCTGGGATTATAAAATCCAGCAGAATCATTTAGCAAACGTTTTCATCTGTGAAGTGTGACCACGACCCCTCCACACCACTAGGCGTTCCTTTGTCTCTCTCTCTCCTGATTGCAGGTTCGAGAGCCATGTGGGTCATTGTTGCCCGATGAGCTGCACCTGGTTCGGGAAGCCTACAAGAAGAGAGCCCATAACACTGCCAGCAGATTGGTGTCTTTGTCTCCCTCTCACTCCTCTGGGCACTCTCTCCGGGCCAGCCTCGGGGATCTGTTGTTGGTGCCGCGTCCTCATTTTTGTTTATAAAAATAAACTTCTTTATTATTCACAACCCTCGTCTCGCCTCCCAGCTTTATGTTGCAGCCCACGAGCCGGGTTGTAACAGAAGGCATGTGAACACTTCAGAATATCCATCCTGCTTTCAATTAGAATGACTCATTAGTAATAACTTAATAATGTTTTAAGCGATGGGGCAGGAAAGGTTAAATCCTTGTGTCTGATTGGTTCATTTTTAAACATGTGATCAATGAGGGGCTCAAGTGTTCCTCCTACACATTGCGTTTTATCTTTCACCGATAGTGAGGAGCTGGGTCACTTCCAGGAATAATACAGATATTAGCTGATTAAAAAAAAAGTAATTTTTTATTATACAAAAACACCAACACTTACAATACAGGAAAACAAAGACAATTTTGAAATAAATCATCCTGTAATAAACCTTGTGAATCTGAAGCAAAGAGTAGCCTACTTCGTTAACAAGGGGGCAAAGGAAAAATGATCTGGATTGTGTTTCAAAGTCCATAAAGAATGAAGGGTACACAATACAAATCCACATGGCCAACATCTGCTAGTTAACTTTTCAAAAGTATTATCAGTAATTTCATAGAACAGAGAACTTAATGCAAACCCTTCCCACCCTTCTGTGTGAGTATAAAGGCCATGTTTGATGCTGTTGAATCTGGACTGTTTCCAACTGTGGTTTCCCAAAATGCCAAAGACATCTCGCCTGTCACCAGTGGTATCTCTCCATGCAGAGAGTGAATTTTATTGTTCCAGGTTTTGAGATAGCTTTGCCTCCATCACAATCCAATGAATGAAAACGTAGATATCATAGTTTCTGAAAGTTCAGTTAAAGACTCCTTTAACCTCCTAGTGCCTCGATAGGGGGAGTGGAGAAGAAGAACACACCATTTTTGGGAAAACACAGAGCTGGAGTCCAGACTTGGTTAGCCTAGCTTAGCATAACAACTGGAACCAGCTAGCTTGGGGCAGCCCATAATGCCTCGTAAATCCCCAGACGTATTGGTTATTTGTCCCTATAGAGATGTATTGTCAACCTAAGATCTCGGGAGTGGATACCATCGAGCTAAGTGGGATTTCTTTATGTAGTTTGGGTGAACTGATCTTTATCACAGCCTTTCAATTGCCAACATGAATAAAACAAATACACAGACCTAAAAATAAGCTTCATTAGCCTCATCATCATCTGTATTTCAGTTCCAGATACTGACAGTGTTGTTTCTATATGCCAGTATTTTTTCACAAGTGGAGAGCAGGTCCCTGAGATTGATCTCCTGATGGCTTGGAGTCCACATGCACAGCAAGCCATCCTGATAAAAGTAGGAGTGTAGAGTTCAGTAGCTGCCCTGTTTACTGCATGATGTGAGAAAGTGGCCTATATGTAGTAGGTGTTGAGACTTAAGGTAATGTTCAATCCATCCATCCCTGTCCAACCACACAATATCATCAGCATCAGCATACAATACAATCTGAACAGATGCAGCTCAGAACATTTACAGAGTGACTGAAGAGAAGAAGATCCGGCAGTATTAACCTAACTTTTTGGGATGTTTTGCAACAAAACGCTATTATCCACCTTAAGTCGAACTCCAAAAAAACGTCTCACAATGATGATTTGTGAGAACATTTGAATGAACCGTTTAATATTTTGGGAAATACACTTTCTGAGACTTAGATGAAAGGTTCTCATGCCTGTTTAAAGCACAGAGCTGGAGTCCAGACCTGGTTAGCCTAGCTGGAAACAGCTAGCGTGGGGCAGCACATAATGCTCCGTGAAATAACAGACTTCAGGGTTCATGCATTTCTGTTTGTGTCAGAAGAAAATAAATGGGACAGAGCATGTTTATCTGTGATCTTTAGAGAGCTAAGGATAGCCAAGTGTTGAGCTCCAGACCAAGCTAGCTGTTTCGCTCCGCTTCCAGTCATGCTAAGCTAGTTTAGCCACGCCCTGACTCCTGCTCTGTACTTAGATGGTATTGATATCCATCTGATCATTTCAATCTCGGGAAGAAGGCAAACGAGTGTATTTGCCTAATTTTGGATCGGCAAAATAATTGTATCAACTGGGCTGGGATGGATTCAGGAGGCAGAGTGGAAACCAACTGGAACCATTTACTGAGTATCTGAACTACATTTACAACTTTGTTTACCTAATGCTAATTAAATTATTATTGCTGTGACTAAATTACAAAGGAACATTTTACGTTGAAGGCTGCTCTGTAACAGCTGGTAGAACAGATAAAAAAACATTTGAATAACCGACCTGCCTTTTATGTTTACAGTCAGCAGTCTGTTCAGCAGTCCATAAGTATTTTTCATCCTACTTCTAACAATTCTTTCACCAGCATGGATGTTTGAAACAAGTTGAGCAACGAGTTCCATGTTGAGGCACAGTGCAGATCAACCAGGTCACGATAGGCTCAAGTCATCATGTCTTTTCTAAGTCAACAAATTTGTATAAATGAAGATTTCAATGTTCTAAAAATGTCCAATAATTACAGATATTTATCTATCTGCCGGAAAAAAAACCTACAGAGCTGAGTGTGTTATTCACATAAATAAGAAAATATGGATGGCCAAAAGACTAGATGTTCAGTTCATAATGATGAAAAAAAACTACCTAATATTCCCCAGGTTACACTACAACTAATGACTTTCTTTACTGTTAAAGGATGGCCAGTTCCACTGATTGGCAAACATATAATCGCACAGAGCTGAAGTCAATGAGTGGTGGGGGGGAAAGTGACACAGAAAGCTAGCCAGAGGGAGACAGGGTTTTCCTAAGGATGCGACCAACTGTGATCAAAACAACTGGACTGAACCAAGGCTAAACCACTGGTAAATGTATAACCAAACCAAAGCTAAAACGCTGGGGACATTTGGTACAAAAACCAAGGCAAATAACTCCGATTTATAGCTATGTGTTTGAGTACAATTATTTTGTTTTTCTTTTGTTCTATAAACTACTGACCACATTTATCTATGTTGGACTTCAACGGACACTAGACTGGAATGGCTGCCATACATGTAGAGATTGAGAAGTGGTTTCTTAATTTCTTCCACTGCTGTATATGAATCTTCCAGTCTCTGGGACCACTCAAAGCGCTTTTACAACACGTCAGCACCCATTTACACACATTCATACTGAGGCAGAGGGCTGTCATCCAAGGTGCCACCTGCTCATCAGGAGTGATAAATATTCATGCACACAGACTCACACACTGTCGGCCATGCCATTGTTGGCAATATGGGGCTCACTATCTTGCCAGATGACACATCAGCATGTTTGCAGGCGGGGCGGGGGGGGCGGGGGGTTGATCACTGCCTTAACAGCCACCAAGAGATGAGTACTTAGTCAAGAGATGGCAATACACTGACTCACAATGTTCTCTTTGGCCATCAAATTATTTATCATCCTGTGTGCAAAACCCTTTTGAAGAACCCCAACGGCAAAAAGAAACATGCCTGGATACCGTTTTTTACACCGTTAAAATGCTCAGATCATCAAAGTGCTCATGTATACCAATTTGGGTGCTTCTGTGGAAAATTCTACATGGCATGTTCACGTAGTGCACACTGAAAGGCCACCGAAAACAGGCCTGGAGAGGTCCAGTGAGACGTGGCTCAGTCTAGTGAAATGATATCTGAAATGCCGCTGTCAGCCCCCCCTCCGGTTCCCCCCCCTCCTCCAGTGATGACCCGGGTTTCGTGGAGGGAGCTGGTGTCGTAGTGGCTGCTGGAGGAGGACACCAGGGCGGAGGAGGTGCTGGCTGCACTCTGCATGCTGCTGGCCAGGTTGTCCAGGAACATCTGCGGCCGATAATGCTGACGGGAAGAAACAATAATCATTTATTAAAGTCCACTCAAAGAATATTTAAACTACCAAGATACAATTCCAACTTCACCCTCTTTTTTGTATCCACCTGATCCGAGTCAGGCTTACCCACTGGACTGCCAAGGACACTTAGCTTTTTATTAGAGACACCACATTTTTAATTGGTCTTTTAATCTTTACTGTTCATTTATTTGTATATAGTTTTAATTATTGTACAGGTTTTTACTTGTAAGGTAAGGTTTATTATTCCTATTATTGATTTTGTTTTTATTCTTATTATCTAATTGGGGTTATCATTTTTATGTTGTTTTTATTTTGATATCGTATTTTCTGGTTTTGTCCTTTATTTTACTGAGAGGAGAATATTATGAAAATGTACAAAATGGAAGTATTCGTTTTTGAATATGAATCAACTAGCTTGTGTGAAATAAAATGGAAGTCAGGTTGCTACAGCTGCTATATTGATATGTCAGATATATCTAATAGGGACATAGGCGTTGAATATGGTGAAGGAAACTGAACGGCAAAGTCAACATTTGAAAAGGAATGACAGTGAAATGTGAAGTGCAGTTTTATACTAGGGGTCAATATAATATTTATTTTATAAAATCTATAAGTTTATTTGGATGCTTAAGTACAATATCTGAGTACTTCTTCCACCTCTGTAGAGAATGTGATCACAGTAGAAAAGTCACCTGAGGATCTGCTTGGATTAAGGAAAACAGATCCAGACCTGTAGGAGAGAGAGAGCAGGTTACCAGTGTGCAGTGGGGATATGTCAGCAGGTCAGTGTCCCTTCACCCCGACTTACTCTGCATGTCAGTGGGGATGGAGGCCAGGGTGGAGGGGTGGAAGGGGACTGCATAGTCAGCCAGCGTGGAGTTCAGGTAGGACGGGTCCAGGGCCTGGACATTTGGCACGCGCACAGTGGGCTGGTAGGTCAACACTCTGAGAGGAAACAAGCATTACTGTGACTGTGTCTGACATTTTGTTATTCTCATTTAGATTTTAGGGGATATTTTCAAAGACATACATAACAGGAAAGACAGCAGTTTGATACAAGGACAATGCTCACACACATAAAGAGAGGCATGCCAGAGCTATGAGTTTCTTTTATGTTTAGAAATGATGCCATTGGGTGTTGTGCCCAGCAAGCATGTATTCAGGATCTCAAAGAGTGCATCTCCAATAGTGACTGTAGGAGCCATGAAACGTGTATAGTAATGTGTTTTGTTTTAATATAAGATATTAGTTTGATCACTATTGATTGATTGGGTCACATGGATATGGGCGGCACTCATTATAATCCGGTTCACCTGCGTGAGGTGTGTGTGTGGAAGAGAGGGTGACACAGGGCCGTTGTACTTTTTGTTGACCGCAAGTTTAATGATTGCTTTGATTAACATAACAATGTACATGTCCAAGGAGAATAAGTTGATCATCCCAGATTTCAGAGTTCAGCAAGTACCTTTTTATAGCGTGTCACACAATATCAAACAGGCCCGGCCTCAGCCTCTCAGCGACTTTAGGCGCTTTCACACCGCAGTACTTTTCCCACTTTAGTTCCGATATAGTTCCAAATTGTCACGTTCACACCAAAAAAATCCGGAACTAAAATGAGTTCATGAGAACCTTTTTACCCCCTTTTTCGTCCCTGCTAGAGAGCAGGGACTTTCGTGGGAGAAAAAGGTTCCTATGTCTGATTGGCTGGGCGGATTGCAAACCACGCCCCATAAAAGTCCCAAAAGGTTTTGTGAAGCCGCCATTTTATTATCCTCGCATTCGCATTATTAGCATTAGCCCAGCGCAGAAACGCAGAGAGACTAATTTATGGCAAAACAAAAGAAGACATGGGAGTTGTGGAGATGAGGGGGTGTCGAACTAAGAGTTCTCATGAACTAAGTACAGATGAACCTTTGTGGGAAAATTACTGTGGTGTGAAAGCAGGGCTGCCAACATTTGAGTTCAGCTTGGAGTAAGATCTCCTATAGGGGGATCCGGGGGCGTGCTCCCCCGGGAAGATTTTTTTTTAAATATTGAAGTTAAATGCATCGATCTGGTGCACTTTGAGAGCAAAAGGAATTTATGGATACATCTCTCAACACCCATATGAAACGTAACTGTAAACAGATTTTCTTTTTCTTTATGGGTATTTTACAAATCACTCACCTTTTAAAATGTATTCTTGTTTTACTGTCATATAGTATTTCATAACGGTTTTTCGTTTATTCTCATAAATGGTGACCAAAACGTTTGAGACCCACTGAGATAACTAGACCAAAGTTAACTATCTAAACAGGGTCCCTTACCTCACTGAGCTGTAGTTATCTCTCAGTCTGACAGCAGAGAGCTCTCTCTCTCATTATTTTAGAAACAGCTTCTAATATCCGTTAGCGCAGCTAGCTAAACAGATGCTAACAACGATGCAAATAGTGAGTTTGGTAGAAATATGCTGTATAATGGTAAAGTTATTGAAGATGATGCCATAGTTATTGAAGATTTTACATTATAAATATTCCCCACAATTATTCAAAAGCATATTCTTCCAAACTCCTTGCTGTAGTATGACACATAGGAGACTATTGATGTGTGTAGTGAGTTTGGTTGTAATATACTGTATGATAG